AAAAAAAAACAAAAAAAAAACAATCGCACAAAACGACAACAATATTATTTTAATTTCAAACTTAGAACGAATTACTGAATACTCGGCATTTCTTGAGATTTGGGACTTTTTAAGGCAATTCAATAAGTACGCCACGAACTAATTCATTAATACAACCAAAAGAATATACTTTGTTACAGCCATTCTCAATAACACGTGCCGCTCTAGCGATTGTTTCTCTCGCGACGAAGAAGCTTTTGGTGGACGTCAATCAAGGCGTTTCCATGACATTCTATAAGCACGTGACCTTATAGCTTTGTGTTTTCCGACAATGTCATGGAAACGCCTTGTGATTGACGTCCACCAAAATCATGTTCGTCGCGACAGAAACAATCGCTAGAGGGCCCGTGTGATTGAGAATGGCTGTAAGACAGGTGTGCCGAATATTAACTAGCATGCAATCAAGTGTGCAAGATCATTAAGAATCCGATCGAACTATAAACCAGCGCACTAAGCCAGCCTTGCTTCTAACAAAAAACAGGATTTAAAGCCACTCAGGTGTGATTTTTAGATATCTTTTTCGCGGACAGAAATGTTTTGCTTCTTAAAATTAGTCTTTTTAATGACGATTTTAATTGTTTAATTGTTCTAATTTAAAAATCCCAGGTGGCTTAAATGGCTATTCACGAATATATCTCGTAATAAATGGCGAAAAGCCTCTCGAAGACAAAGTGCACATACTGCACTTATTCAACATGTATCTATGAATCTATCTATTTTAGCTGTTGTATCGCAGCGCGCGGACCCATCAAAAGAGGGCCTGCTCAATCTAGGCGAAAGCCCAAGTTAGAAGTTGAGAAGTTATTTTTGAGGACGGAGGAAAATCGGAGAAGCAGGAGAAAAACCCCTCGAAGAAGAATAAAACGCACCATTTTTAATTAAGCAAATTTTGCAAATCAGCTGTTCACCTTTACGTGTGAAGTCCATGCATAAATCATAATCAACACCTTAATAAAAACCTACAAACAAATGACTACCATAATCGAGAGTTCACTCGGAATCACACAGAGAGACCAAAAAGCCGAAGACATAACTTATCAAGTGCATAACTGAATGATTATTTTAGGTAATGCAGTAAGGAAGCAGTACGATAAATACAAACGATATCCCACGTATCGAGAGCATTGTATAGCCAAACTTCTCAGTTCCACAGAAGATTTAGACCACCTGTCTTCAAAGTAAAATCAAGTGAAGAAAATATCACACTACAGCTTCTTCCACAAAAGAAGCAGCCAGTAAGAATACTACTCTTGTAGGTGCGTCGGAAGAAAAGCATTTCATTTTTTGTGTGTGCTTAATGGGCACAAAAAGACCGAAATTATTGATCTACAAAAAATATCATTTTCCGGATAACCATAAGAACRAATGCTTGCAGAGATTCGCCCAGAGGAATCGACGATTATCTTCCTTCTCTATTGGAAAACCAAACGATACCAAACAAATTCAAGAAAAGCTGGTAATCCGATTAATATATACATATATATTCGTAAATCAATGATATTTTTTTTAGCTCGTTAGGTCTTTTTTATTTCGTTAGAGCATCGTTATTAACGCTTGCTTAAGGTCACTCTAAGAGGTCCGTTCGATCACTCTAAGAGGTCCGTTCGATAGTTATCTGAATTCAGTTTATATATTTGAAACTGAGAAAAGTAAACTCAAAATCTGTTTTGAGTAAACACTATTCTATTAATATTAGCATAAGGGATTTTTCTTTATACTGTTTCTGATGAAGCCGTTGGCGGCTTTTCGGAATCTTAAAGCCCTATTTGATAAACATTTACTATTTCCATCTACGGAACAACTGAGTTTCAGTTTAGTGCGGCATAGCATTGCCGCATAACGTCCAATAGTATCCACAGAGACGTTGTTCGAACAAGCAAATATAAATTCAGTTCTAACGATTGAAAAGTCCATCAAAGTACCTGTTCGAATTTCCGTGTCAAGTGAAAGAAGTCACATGTTAAGTCGATAAGATATATCGATATTTTATTGTGTTTACGTCCTATCGATATTGAAAAGTCTATATGTAAGGTAACTGCTTGAATGTTCATAGATAATACACAAGTGAATGAAGTCATATGTTAAGCCGATAAAGTATATCAATATTTCATTATGTTTACAGGGAAACAGCCGCAAAGACAATACACTGCATATGATTTGAGACAGGCCTTGTTTGAACAAAATTAAACCGGACAATCACAACTTGAATCCATCTTTTTTCGTTTAATTTGATTTGAAAAAGATTGGTGCTTCAGAATGGTTGAGTTTCCAACTAATGCCCTTCAGCCAGAACTACAAGCACGAAGCACTGCTGAGATCGTCATTGAAACAGTCATCATGGTATTCATTGCTATCACGGCTACGTTTGGTAATCTCATGGTATGCTGGGCTGTAT